TAGTTTCTAGAACTATTTACAACAGTATTAAATGTTTTTAGTGTTGCTTGAATGTCGGACCATATGTTGTGAATGCTGCTAGTATCTATAGATTTATTTGTACTGTAAATAGAGACGACTAAAGATCAAGTGAAAAAGGGTATAGACATACATATCAGTGGCGGTGGAAGTCTAACAAAGCGAGGCTGTACCTGTAGACATTTGGCCTGAGACCTTTGGACAGGGTTAGCTTTCTGTTTTATGAGACACTGAATACCTTGATGCAATATTACAACTGAGGGCAAATCCTCCACCTTTTACTCTCTTTTTAAAAAACCACTATCTTTAATCCCTGAAGTAACGTAACAGATGATTTACTTTAAGCTTACAAAAATCACTAAAATATATTTAAATATGAATATTTATCTGCTTTTCAAATTTATAACACACCTACCTTTCACACCTGTGATACTTAAGAAAGCAGCCGCTCCTAGTTTTCAAAGATTTAAGGGTGCCAAGTCATGAAGACTTTCTTTTCTTGCCACACTTTACTCTGACAAAGGGAGTCGTTCACGTCAGTTTTTGAAGAACGCGGCTATTTTGGGATTGTCTCCACAACATTGCCTGCATCAACTGAGCCTTTTAAATTGATTCAAAAGAAAAGATATCTGATGTTTATTGGAGATGAATTTATTTATTGAATTATAAATGTTTTATAATTGCTGTTTGCATGGTACTATGTGGCAATATTTGTTTTAGTGGTTTCTATAGTGATGACTTATATGTTCAAGGTGCAGAGCGGGGTTAAAGGTCGTCAAACGTTCTCATTGAGTTACAGATTTTTTTGGGAACTCTCGAGTGTTTGTCGTCGCCAGACCTTGAAAACAAGAAATAAAAGAAAAAGTATGAGTTCACTATATTGTTACTTGTTATATTTCAATCTCGCTCCAATAGTCTTATGTAACGTAATAGGAGATGTTTGAGTTTGCGAATGGATGGGCCTTGGAAACGGTCATCTCACCTGTGTAAATATATATCACTAAAGTCAGAGACACTTTAACCGACTAGTGTTGTCTTTTGTTGTACACTGTTCAATCACTGTGGCAAAGTCTTAGAGTTTTGTATGATTACGTGCAATATTGTTCTCACATGGGTTTTCATTTTGTTATGTTGTTTATTTTCTACGAATCAACTGGAGGTGTCACTTATTTCATCAGAATGTTTGTCACCAGGTCTCACGGACAATAAAGATCGACAGTGTTGATCTGATGTGGCAGAGACAGCAAAGCACTTTACACTGAGTGGGGGGGGGGTCTGCGCAGTAAAGCAGACCCTTGCCCCACAGAGATCTCTGGTGTCACACGAGTGTATTACAGCCAGCCGTGGAGGTCTGACAGCCCAGACTATAAAATATGATTAACTCCCATCCTCCTGCAGCGGTTTTGAACTGCAAGCACCCAGAAACTACCTGCTGATTTTGTTTACATCTTCTCGTGTCAGCATTTCCTTGAACATCTTTAGCATGCATCACATTCTTTCCTTTCTCTTGCCAAACTTCTTTAAAAAAGAAAAATAGTAACTGTTACATTTATTGCGCTTGTCACTCAATCTGTGAAGTGAGCCTTCCCAGACCCATCCCCCCCGCAAACACCACTTCCCCTCTCCTCCTCGAAAAATCCCCCCCGGCCTCCCCCATCCCAGCCACTAAATCCACCCCAGCTGTGTATTTTAAATGTGATTGCAGTATAATTCAGAAAAATGATCAAAGAATATAAAACTCGCGCTTCCAATTCTGGCAATGGCTCTGCTCGCACGACACCTGATGGTCTACTTTCAAAAACCAGCACGCCCCCTCTCCCCACAGCTGATCCATGATTTAGATCAGATCCTTCGCCTGCACAACTGTAGCATGAGACAAACTTGTTGGTGATCATTACCCAGTCTCCATCCTTAAATGGATATTAAGGGCTCTGAAACACATCTGTTACCAGGTTGAGGAGGCTGTCCTGTTTAAGATACCAACAGAGAAAAACAACAAGTCCTAGGTTTTGAAAGAGGGCACACGTATTTTGTAGCTGAGATAAGATGGAAAACCCTTCAGTGTATTTTCAGACGGACGTGCTTGATTGCATTTCACACAGTCGTCCTCTCTGGGAGTTAGAGAAGAAGTCGAGGGGCCGTCGGCCGCTGCGAGCAGAGCCACGTCCCAGTCATGTTGTGTAACTCAGTGCATGCATGCGATTATCCTGAACAAGGTGTATTGAAAATATATTGGGTGTTTGTGGTATAAAAGTATTTTGTTTTTATCATTAGGAACTTTTCCTTCTAGTACTATGATTTTCTTTCCTTAGGACTGGCCAATCATTGTATCCAAGATGAATATTATTATTATTATACTACAAGATTCTATTTTTTATGGTGGATTTGTTGACAAGGTATTCTCATTGTCAAATATTATCTGCAGATAAACTGACTACCAAAGTATATTTCAGTTAACTACATAAATGATGGTGTGCAAAGTGTGCTCCAGTGAATTATACAAGTAAATACTGTTTATTATTAAAGTTTTATTAGTTAAAACATATCGTTTCAAAAGGGTAAAACTATGAATGTGCCAAAGTAGTAGAGGAGATGCCTGCAGATCAGCAACTTGATGAAAAATGCAGCCTGTCCAAAACTATACATGTACCTACTTTAAATACATGCATATCAAGAACGAGCAAATTAAGTTAGCCGGCTTCTTCTGTATCTGACAGACATGATTGGTATTACTTATATATTTTCCTTTAACACTTTATGGCCTTTTACAAATATAGTAAATATATATATATAAATAAAATATATACAATATAGTATTTAATTGAATAACCAGTACCTCCCTGCAGATGAATTTGCCACTGTCCAGGTTTGTTTTCAATTCACTGGAGTTGTGGGAAACATGTTGTATGGATGTAGATATAAATGATATATACAGCATACCTGTATCAAATATCAGTAGTATGAATTTATTTTATTTTTTAATTCAGAAACGTTCATTACTCTTCCTTGATACTGTACCTGGTCTTATGGTAAAGCGTAGTGTGTTCCTTTCAGTTCTGTGGGAGTGTGTGTGTACATGTGCACTTGTAACTGCTGGGGTGGGAGGGGGCTACGTGTAAATAAATCAAATACAGTTAGTGTGGAGGTGTTTTTGTGTCAGTGTAAGTTAAATATTCCAAAATTTAAAAAAAGACATGTATTATTCTCTATTGTGTTTCATGGTACATAAAAAAAGAGGAAAAAGTAGTTTTATCTTACATTTCAAATGCTTATATCTATGGCTTCTGGCGATACCCGTTCCATTTTATAGATTTGTCAGCACAAAATGCAATAAACCAATACCATTTTATTACAGCAATTGTGTCTTGAGTTTTTAATCATTCTTTTACAATGAAATTGTTACAAATAGAAAAAAAACCACTATGTGCAAAACTATAAAACACATCATGGTTGGAAAAGAACAAAGGAGTCCATCAAAACAAACTGATACACATGCCTCAGTTTAACTCACATTTAAGAAGATTCAATAATTATCTTCTGACTAATAATAAAAAAACAGAACATTAGCTAATCCCGCCAAGTTGTCTAAATCAACTGAACACAAAATTCCTAATAAAAAAAAGAAGATTAAAAGCTTTAACAAAACACTCAACCGTACGATCTACCTTAGGCGGTTATTTCACTGCACAGAGAGTTAGTGGGGGGTCACAGGGAGAGGGGAGTATGTTATTCACTACGGACATCAGTAATGTCGGGGGTACATGGACATCGGGGGGGCTTGGCCCATGCCAGGGGACGACCTTGGGGGCGGCTGCTGAGGGGCGGAGCTGCCCACCAGGTGGTTGAGAGACGGTCCGCTCTGAATGAGGGTGTCCAGAGCCTTCTGTACGCTCGGGCTGTCAAAATTAATACCTGAGGCAGAGGTGGGGGGTCTTTGGCCACCCTGGGGGACCTGCATGCGGCCCTGCAGGGCGCCGTAACCCTGGGCTGAAGGGAGGCCGGGCATGGGTGGACGCGTTGGATTCATGGAGGGGGGAGGGCCGAGCGAACCGTAGGGCTTGGGCTGGGGGACGGGGGGGGGCTGGCTGGCTGTCAGCCCACTGTTGAACAGGCTGAGGATCTTGGCCTGCAGCTCCTGCTGGTGGCTGCTGTTGGGGGCAGCGCTGGAAGCAGCCGATAGGCCGAGGTGGCTGGACTGTGGGGGGTTGTGGGTGGAGTGTGGTGGGGGGGGCAGTCCTGCGGCTGAGGAGGGGACGTCATGGTGGGCTGAGGCTGGAGCTGCAGCTAGAAGGGGAGAAGAGCAGTTAAGAGTTCTCTGCTCTGCACACTGGAACATTCAACACATTGAGCTCTTGAACCAAGATGAGTGGAACAATAACAAAGGGTACTTTGTGCTACACTAGTTCTATCAGCACAGGCTGAGCCCTAGGCTACACTGCGGTTGCAATTTTGACAACATCCTCCGAGGGCCGCACAAATTATTGAACTCAACCTCTGCTTAAAAAAAAACTAAAATCACAGCCAATTCATTTGGCCTTTCTTTCATGCTGTGCAAAGAAAAAGCAACCTCTTAATCCAGATATCTTACCATGACTTGTGCATGCATGTGCACTATGTGGCATGACCACCAAAACAGAAAGATATGGACACAAGATGTGTGCAAATGTATTTAGTATCCATGTGAACATGATTTAAGTGGGGGGGACCTAACCTCCTCTAGGGGGGTCCGGGGGNGCCGGCCGAAACTAGCACACATTTGCACAGCACACGCTCCGATTGTTCTCAGCTCATTTCCCATCACATGCTAGCCCAAATGTCACGGCAGCGATGAAACGAGAACAATCGGAGCGTGTGCTGTGCAAATGTGTGCTAGTTTCGGCCGGCCACCCTAGGGTTAAGTCTGCAAGCACTTCATTAATGTGGGTCGGTGCAGCAGAGCATGTTGAAACAAACAAGACTGGATCGTGCCGAGATATGCAACCATGGAAACTTCAGGAGACGTCCTTGGATCTCCTTCCCTGGAGGGGCGGGAGGCAGAATCCCTGCCCCAGTGAGGAGGGCCGACACTGGGCCTTGAGCGGTGCGATGTGTCCTGGATGGCTGGTTCCATATTTGATCTATGTCTGAGGGCAGTAGCAGAGCCTGACACATTCACCCTGTCTGTCTAACCTAAATGTTCATTCAGAGGGTCTCTCCCCGCAGCCAGACCCTGCCCTCTATCTATCTGTAGCTCTGTTTCTTACAAATCCGTTAGATTTCCAGCCTGTCTCTCTGTATGTCTGTGTTTCTATCTGCCTGTGTAGCATCTGTCTATATGTCTGTGTGACTGTTTGTAGGTCAGGTCTGAACGTCTGCCTTCCCTCGCAGACTGTATAGATGAGCTCATACGAGCCACTGACCATGCCCTGGAAATCTAATCACCCAGCACAGTTGGATGTTTGTTTGTGCTTGTACACACAGATGTGCATACAGGAGTGCAAACAGCAAGCCATGTACACAAAAAAAAGCGGTCACACCCAGCTTTCATAGGTGTTTTTTTTGTAAAGCAGACAGCCTGGCTGTTATGTGCTCTTGTTAGAATTTGTGTTCTAAATGCACATGTTGTGTGTTGTATTAGTCACACAACGCTAACCCTCCCACACAGACACACAAACACAAATCCCTCAACGTCAGCAAGCCAAACTCATAAAACACTCTAATTGGCATGCACTGGAATCATTTCGCAAGTTCTTACAATAAAATAAACTTTTTTCCTCCCCAAATACTTCTCCATGTTTATGTAATGGGGCTTGTTATTTTCTTCCTTTTAATATCCCCTCTCATATAAGAAGTAAGCTATGTAAGCTATGTGAATAACAGCATTAATATACCACAGGCCCCTTAAGGATTCAATACTTTTAGGGAAATCAGGGTTGCAGTGTTACTGTGTTTGCAAACAATCCAGAGCAGTGACATCAGTTTATTACATAAATTGGAGCAGGCCAGGCATGAGAGATATTATGACACAAGGGCAGACTAAATGGCTAGAGGGACACAGCGCAGTGTTTCTGACACCAGCATTCAGGGGGAGAAGAAATTACATCACTGTGTTAGGGTTATGTAAAACACTAGACACGCTGTAACACTAAAAGAAAACCCTCTGAGAAAAAAAGAAGGAAATAACCCCTTAAGCGAGACGGAGCGACTGTTTAGCTTTACCAGAATGTTCCTCTTTGTGTTCATATCCATGGAAAAACAATCGCAGAGGGAGTGAACTTTTGACAATTGCAAAGTACTTCCCGGAAAATATATCACACTGACAACCTAAAGAGATGCTCCGTGTGGTGAAAAGGAAAAAGAGACCTGCTGGCGAGTCGGCACTAAGGGGGTGTGAGATCTCCACCTCCTCATCAGCACACTCTAAAAAGTCATTCAGGGGACCTTTTACCACCACTTAATTAAATGCATGGTTGCAAGATACAAATTTGAATTAATTAATTTAGATAAACATTTTAAGTTGCAAACATTAATTTATAAGTTGTGTTGACGTAATAATGTTGGTTATTACATCAACTTAATATTGTGTGTAATTTAAACTCGGATTTCTGCGTTAATTGACTTAAAACTAAATTCAAGTTGTAGTAAGTAATGCAATTGGCTTGATAACTTAATTGTTCTACACCTTGAGTTAAGGATTTCAAGTCCACTCCTACTTAACATACCTGGACAAGTTCCGACAGTTAAGACAAATAGAAATGCTATACAAAGGACATTTTTAAGGTGAGTGTCATTTGTCATTCAAATACTCTAGATAGCCTTGTAGTTGCACTGCATAGTGTCAGGGTTTGAGTTTTTGTGTGTCTAGTTTTGGGGTTATTTTGCTGTTCTGCCCTCCCTGTCGTTAGTTTCCCTGGTGTGTCTGATTGTGTTCACATGTTACCCTTGTGTTTATCCTCCCCTGCCCGGCTGTTTCTCCACTCGTGATTACCCCTCCCTGTATTTAGTCTTGTCTCTTCCTGTGTTCAGTGTTGGTTCATTATTTGTCGTTCATGTCTCCCTTCATGTTGGTCACAGTCACCTTTTGTTTGGATGCTACCTCGTGCCTCGTACCTGTTCATGGATTCTTGTTTTTTTCAGCTTTTGTGAATAAAGCNCACATCCGTGATTTGTGCCGGAGATGTGATGTATTTGGGGAGCGTCGGAAAATGCAGCATCCGACCCGTGCTCAAGTCGGTCGCGAAAAGGTCCAGCTTGACTTGGATCTGCTCCACAAGATCAATGACCGTTTTGTCTCTGTTTACGCTTCAGAGTTGAGAGAGACATGTTTTAGAGTTGCTATCATCGGACCACCGTTACTAGCACCACTAGATGCACTTTCAAAAAACGTGCTGCGTTGTGGTTTGGTGGTTTCTATGCAACGCGCGAGTGTTGCGTTCATGGTCTGTACTCGTGTAGGAATTTGGCTACGGGAGGCTGGGCCACTCGGGAATTGGTTCTGGGCCGCATCTGGCCCGCGGGCCTTCAGTTGAATAGGCCTGCCTTACAGTTACCCAACAGAGGACGACACATTTAGTTTTAATGTTTGCGAGTACTGAGACAATAAATAAATATAAATCGTAATAGTATGCTCTTTCTGCGCTTCTGCTTAACAGCGTGTTGTCAGGTGTCTCGGATTCGGAGCGTTTTATGAAACCTTTTTGCAAAAGATTTTTTTGGGGAAAATATTTATTTTTTTGAAAAATGTTTTTATAAAAAAAAAATACAAATTTCTCCGCACCGAATATTCGAATATTCGCTGCTGATTACTACCGAATATCCGGAGCCCGAAAAATGTTTTTTTTTCTTTTCGGGACAGCCCGATATGATAATTTAGGGACTCTGGTAAAATCTTACATTTCCCCATTTTAAAAGGCAACCATAAATAAAAATTGGTGTCATAGAAATACTGCAACTGTATATTATAAATGAATGTCAAATATATGGTCGAATGTATAGTAATACTATAAAAAAAATGATTTGAATGCAGCGTAGTTGAGAAGATTTAGTCTCTTTTTTAGTATCACTTGCTGGTTGATTATAAGGTACTGTGATACAGATGAACTCTTTTTATACCTCAATCCCAGCCCATGTTATTACAACAGACAGCACATGATATGTAAGGCTCCCTAATGGCACTTCTCTCCCCTCTCCCTCTCTCAAACACTGTGGCTTGTTGTGACTTTGACCTGCATTCCTACATCTCCACCTCAACCGTGACTCTTGCGTGTATTGTTCATTTGAATCCACATCCGTCCTCTCTTCCTCTCGTCTCATAGTCAAAGTCGGCCTCTTCCCCTGTCTCCCCCCCTGCGCAGGTCCAGCTCATCCACGACAACACCACCCCGACCACCCCCGCCACCCCGGCCACCTCGCTGTCCCCCACAGAGGGGGCTAAGAGCCCCGGGGAGCAGGTCCAGAGGACCTGGACTGAGAAGTGTGACGGCGAGCCTGCCAAGCCGCCCGGCGCCGCGACACCAGAGGGCATCAAAGACATCTTCAACATGAAGCCGTGAGTGCTGTGAATCATTCAACCCTTACCTGTTGGAAAGGTAAGGGCCTTCTTGTTCCTGACAGAAAGGTCCCTGCGACTTTTATCTCTACAATATGGCACCGCAGAGGTCTGCCAGAGAGCTGTTTAAAGATTTATATTTTCTCTTTTATTAGCTTGGATTAGGTAGATTAAGACCAAGTCCACACTTACAAGGGTTTTTACTGCTTCTCTCCTCACCCTTTACAAATACGAAACTCAAAGGAAAAATAGAAAAAAAAACATTTGGAAGGCTGTGAAGGCCAGTGGGCAGCTTGGGCCACACACACACACACACACACACACACACACACACACACACACACACACACACACACACACACACACACACACACACACACACACAGATTTTTTCCAAAACCACCAATGTTTTCTTTGGGCCTGGTGTATAATGTAGCAGTTAGGTTTAGGGTCCCCTTTATGATGCTTTTTGACCCATCTGTTCCTGAAACTGAAGAGTAACTTTTAGTTCTGTTAACGTGTTGGTAAGGTTAGAACCAGCATATTTGTTCCACTTCCACCATAGCACAAAATGTCTCCTCATTAGTGACTAACAAAAGAGAAAACCGGGCACACTGGCGTAAAAAGACCAAACTCACATAAACACTATCAAAGAGGACTGTTTATGTTTTTAAAAACCTGTATGGTTGTGGACTAGGCCTGAACAACATTTCCAACATAGTTCTGATAATCATGTGTTTCTCTTCTTGCCACGCTGCAGCGAGTGGGAGAACCTGTAAGTACTGAAGTCTCAATAAAGTTCATTCAGCCCATTCACATCTCATCCTGACGTTAGCCTCATGAGCAGAAGAAGAAGGAGTACTTGTGTGTGAATGAGCATCCTTCACCTCGACCAGCCCACTATCACAAAGTGCTTGGTAACGTGCTGTTCATCACTATGAAACAAACGCACCCTCACTCTCTGCTGCTCTGTCTTCGCTCAGGAACCAGTCCAATGTGCGGCGTATGCACACAGCGCTCCGGCTGAATGAGGTCATCATCAAGAAGTCCTCAGAGGCCAAGCTGGTCCTCCTCAACATGCCCGGGCCTCCCAAGAACCGGACAGGGGACGAGAACTGTATCCTTCACACAGACAGAAGTAGGATGTGTTCGGTCAGGTAAAGCTGTATTAGCGCATGTTATTTCTGAAAACCAAACTCAATACTTACAAGAAATGAGGGAAGCTTAAACACATTGGGGAGAAAAACACCTTAATACCAGGGAAGAGCACATATTCATTATATGAAGGATCCATTTTAGGACTATTAGATTATCGGTTTTCAACTCTAACACCAAGAATGTTCCTTCAAATTAACATCCAGTCCATGTGCTACTGAGGGGGGGGGGGGAAGAGGAGTCAGTGTAAATATAATTAAACAGATCCACTTTAATTAATTTGACATGCAGGTGCTGAAAAGCTTTTGGTAGCACTCTAAAGATCGAATCACAATCTGTTAAAGCCTCAAGGCCTGTTCCTACTTCAGGAAACAAAAACCTTATTTTTCTGTTTTAAATAATACATGGCATGTTAATTGACTTGGATTCAGGAGAAAAACAGCTGTGATTTGCTAACAGGAAATGTGTGAGACACGGCAATGGAGGCAAATAACTCATTAGGATTAGGAGGCAAAATATAGATCTTTTGAATAACATTTACAGGATATATTTGTTATGATTAATTAATTTTTTAGACCACTGCATTTTTTCCAGTTACAGTTTAGTATAAAACTAATAATGAAATATGTCTCTGAGTCTGTCAGTGGGAGATGACTTTAAGACATTGACTGGAATTGATAGAAATGTACAGCTATATTGTGTTTTTTAACATAACATTTAATATGTATGTATCTTAATGCAAACGGTGCGTTCTAAAGCAGTGGTTTGACATCTTGGACAATAAAATATGCTTTCTTGCCATTTGATGAAAAGGTCAATACAGCTCACATCTGTCCATACAGCACTTAAAGAGACACAGCAGGCAGACATCAATAACATCCAGCATCGTAAAATTACAGAACCTAGTTCAAGAGTGTTCTCGGAGCACCACAGGGGTCTTTCCTGAGTCCTTATGAATTCTCCTTCACATCTTTTCTTGGAAGAGACATAGGACCTGATTTTAATATTTGACCGCAGCCAGAGTCTGGCATATAACCCCCCATGAAACAAACATCTTATGTTTACACTTACATTGTTTGCAGGATTAAGAATACAAAGTATAATGCAAAATTGGTTAGCTTTAAAAAAAAAAAATAACTTTTTGTACTTTTTGACAAAGTAAGGCTAGCTGATTTCCTGTTGCCAGGTTTTATGCTAAGCTAACGTGACTGGTAATCTAAATGAATATTTACCGTGCAGACATGACTTCTCATCCAACTATGTGCAAGAAAGGTAGTGAGCATCTGTTTCCAAAAATTGATTTAAAGGGGACCTATCATGCAAAATGCACTTTTGTATGTCTTTTAAACATGAATATGTGTCCCCGGTGTGTCAGGGAACTCACCAAGTGTCAGAAAACACAACTCTCTCTCTTTTCCTCCATACCCAAATCTCTAAGAACGGGGCTGCAACGGATCTGATACAGACTGATACAGATCTGAAATATCTCACGCCAGGATATATCTCAAACAAGGAGCTCCGCCTATATGGGCAACTCTCCGCCTATCAGGGGAATGAGAGGTTGCCGTGGCATGGTAACAGCATGGTAACATGACCATCGTCAAGCACATTTGCCTAGAATCAGCCCTTGTGAAGACAGGGCTGTATTAAAAAGAGCAATAGAGGCGAAATGAGGCATGGCTAAAATGGCAAGATCTGTGTTGGTATTTTGAAAAAGAAACTTCACAGACATGTTTATTTAGCGTATCGGCCCTACAATATATGTTTCAAATATAGCATATAGGTCCACTTTAAGTTTTCGTTTTGTTTGCCCAGTATTAGTCAATTGCAAAAGCGTATTATAGCCATTGAAGGCAATTGACTTTAATCTCAGAGAATCATAATTTGGTTCTCACCAAACTGAATGACTTGATATGTCAGAAATAGCCTTTATTTTTGGTAAATGTATAATTATAATTTGATAATGAATTCCCTTCCTTTATCTTTGCCTGCGCGTATCNTTGTGTCTCTGCAGTAGTAAAGGCAGCACGCTGTCACGGCGAGGCTGTAACCGTCACTCGCCCGCTCTCCTCTCCTTTGCCCGGCGTCTCCGATGTCTTCTTACAGCCTCGCCGTGACAGCGTGCTGCCTTTACTACTGCAGAGACACAACACACGACACATACAGTCAGGTCATCTGAGCAAAAGACAACTGTAAGAAAGCCTACATGTCGAATGATACGTTTGCTTGCTGTTCATATGTGCACAAGGGTGAGTGTGTTATATTAGGGCTGTCCCGACTACCATTTTTCGGGCTCCGGATATTCGGTAGTAATCAGCAGCGAATATTCGGTGCGGAGAGATTTGTATTTTTTTTTTCATACATTTTTTTCTTCAAAAAGGTTTCATAACACGCTCCGAATCCGAGGGTGAAGCGAGGTGAAGCGAGGTGAAGGGTGCCGTTTGCGTTCGTGACTGAGTGAACGCGATGTCAGGAGCACAGGCTGAGATTTTATATATTTCCGCATTTTAACAGTGCAATTCAAAAGTATAAATATAGTATAAGAATATGGCAATTCGCCTTTATTGATAGCATACATTTAGAAAAAATAAAAAATAAAATTGGAAAAAAACAAAAAAAACGAATATCCGAATAATTAAATTGAAACCCGAACAGTTGGCCAACGAACGAATATTCGAATAGTCGAATATTCGGGTACAGCCCTAACACACACACACACACACACACACACACACTGAATCTGACACACGTTAGGAGGATAAAGGACACTCTGGACCCTGAA